GGGGCAGCAGCGCCCTGTTCCCCCCCAGCCAGTGGCCATGGAAAGCCCGGGGTAGCTCCCCACCTCCCCCTCCAAGCTAGCGCTGCTGGCCGCAGCCAACTGCCTGGCACCTCCCCTTGCACCCAGCTAAGGGCTTAACCCCCTGGCACGTCCCCGCCATTCACCTCCCTTGCCCTGCCCTGGAGAAGAGACCTCAAGGTCCCACTCAGCTGACGAGGGCTCTAGCAGCGCCCCAGGCAGCCGAATCCACGTAGGGGCTTAGTGACAGCCCAGCCCAGGGGTCTCAAACTCCCTGCCCAAGGAGTTTGTACAATCGGGTCTGGGACTCAGGGGGAGGGGCACCTGTCCATTACTGGCCTCCAAACCCTGCCCCTTCCTGCCATTGGCCCGCCCTCTCCCCCGTGGCCCCCCGGCCCTGTGGGGATCACGGGGAGGGGAGGAGACCAGGCACCGCGTGGCCCCAGGTTGGCTGTGGCCCCACCACACATGCTGAGTAAGTTTGACACTTTATTGGGGATTTAACAATGACAGATGATTTCAGACCCAACATGGAAGGGGGCAGACGCCACCCACAGCTCCAGCTGCCTGGCCCTGGAGAGCCCTGCGCAGAGCCGGCAGGAGGCAGAGGCCGGGTTACGGCAGGATGCCATGCAGTCCCTCTTCCCCGGTACGCACCACCCAGCTTTGCCCAACGCGCCTCTCGCCAACTGGCTGCACCGAAAAGTAACGAGCTTTCCTCAGGCTTGCAGCCGGCTCCGGAGCAACGTTCAAAGCCACTGGCCTCCGCCCCGCCAAAGCAGGAGGAAATAGCACAGAGCACGACAACAGGCTGCAGCCCTGGCTCCTGTTGAGGGCTCCGTGTCCCGCTGGATTAGGCTGGGCCTTTTCCAGAGACCCGCTAGGTGGGAACAGGCCAGCGGCGGCTCTCGGGGACACAGGCTGTTTCCGGAGGCGAGGTGTGCACCGTCTACCGCAGTCAGCCGTGGCGGAGGTGGGGGAGAGAACCCAAAACGCAGCAGTGAATGGCTACAGGCGGGGAGAGGAGCAGGGCGCGGGCGGGCCCGTTAACTGATGCTCCCGCCCTTCAGTGTTTTACACGAGACGTTCCCCAGCTTGGTCATGAAACTCTTCTGCTTCCACTGGGCGACGCCGTCCTCGGAGATGCGGAAGTCAGCCTGGGGAGAGGCAGGGGGTGACGTGTCAGACCAGCTGGCCAGTGCCTGTTCCCTCGTCGTACCGGCGCCATGTGGCCTTGGGGCAGGGAATCCTTGTTCAGGGCCCTCAGCCCCCATGTCCCCGGGGCCGGGACTGCGCCGTGCTACTTCCAGGAAGGGTGCAGGGGACTCTCCACCTCCCTGGCGGCACCATCGGTCACTCGAACTGGTGGCTGCACACAGAGCCTGCTGCCCCATTGCTCTGCCGCTGACTTCACCAGCTGGTACCCACGTGCTTTCCAAGCAAGGGGCGCACAAGATCCCCCTTCCATGGGGGAAGCAGGCCCAGAGCGGGACTGGGACTTGCCCAAAGCCGCTCACCGTCTCTGGACAGGACACGGCCCTCGGGTCCCCTCTGTAGGTCCCAAGTGAGGCCAGCTGCTGGGTAACAGGCTGAGATGAGCTGGGTCTGAACGGGTCTAGCCCAGGAGTACTGCCCCCGTCCCCATGGCCAGTTGGCAGGCACCCGGCTAGCCAGGATTAGGCAGTGCTGGCCAGCTGGGTTTGTCAGCTCCGCAGGCCGGGGGTGGAGACAAGGCGGGACTGGGAGCCAGGAGACACCAGGTCTAGGCTCTGCCCTCTGTGACCTCCCGCGAGTCACCGCCGCGCAGCGTGCCTCGGCCCCCCCGGAACGGGAGCCACAGCCCTGTCTCACGCAGGGGCTGGGACACCTTCTGAGCCTCCTGGGAGGCTGGGCCAGGCCAGTGAGGTGCCTGGGGGACCCGAGGGCTCAGCTGCCAGAGCGGATGGGGCCTCTCAGCGTTGAGTCGGCCCCGGCCCGGCAGGCACGAAGCTTCCCCCTCTTACCTGCAGCCTCCCGAAGACTCT